AAGTATAGTAGCAAATGCTCCTCCTTGTGAGAATCCTAAAATACCATCAAATGGTCCAGACTTTTGAAATACTTTTTTTATTAAATCTATACTATCTTCAAAACCTACACATAACTGACTTGGTATAATTGCTTTAAATATATGATCTTCTGTATTAAACCACCACCCATACCCTAAAACAAGTAACATAAAGCGCCGTTTGATATTTATCCATTCACAGCTTTATACATAGTAGTTACATAAAACCTTACATTATAAATTTTTATTTTACAAAAACTAACTTTTCTAAATTACATACCTTCTTCTGATTCATCAATGCCAAAATTACTTTTCATTGGAACATTGTGTGGGGCTCGCAGAAACGTAAATTCGACTTCTTTTTTGAAACCTTTCCTCAAAGATCCTAATTTTGTATAAAAAATAGTATCTGATTGAGCATATCCATGAATAGCAAGTATCTAAAAAATATATTTCATAAAAGTAGTATTCATTTAGATTTATACTTAAATAGAATTCTTAATAATCGCTCACTCGTAATTTTGTATTTGCCATATTTGATAGATACTTAAGTTACTTAAAATGACCAATTCATCTATTTTTGTATACAATCAAAGTTGTAGAAACATTACAACTATCGTTTATTGTTAAAACCTAGAAAACTATAGGTTAAATTGTTTTTGATGATATTTACTAATATAAAGCATTACAAACAATTAGAAACATATGTAGTTTTCAAATATCATATGTAAAAGCTCAATTTCAGAATGTAGTTGTATATGTATTTGTTGCCAAGGAATACTTGCTGCTATCAGGAAAAAAACACACAGTTTCTAATTTAATTTAGTGACCTGTCACTTTGACCAATAGTAAAACTGTGCGCCTAACAACCAATCAGATTCACATTTCTTTCAGGTAATTTATTGTAAACTAATCTTAATGTATGGAGCAACGTACTAAGCTACACATAGATGACTCAAACGCACAATTTTAGAATGGCGCGAAATTCAAATTATAAACTAAGAGAGTGACAAAAGAATGTGACATGAAAAATGATGAAATATTGATTTCACAAACACTAATGACAATTCCCTCTCTAGTATTTTGCTTAGTAATAATTTTAAATACTATTTTAAGCACGCAATACCAATAAAGTAATGTTGAAAGACAAGATTTTTTGATCATTTATTTTGAAAGTCGACGTATATATAATTTATTTATTTTGGTAGAATTAGAAAAGATGCTAAAAATAGTATAATGACGATTTTTACACATTACCGTTATTGGTCATAATCTTTATTTATTATACATCCCTCATGGTACGTACACTGTTTATCATTTATTATAAATTTTATATTGAAAATATTTTATTCAATTAATTTCAAATATCTGTTCAATTTACGCTTGTAATACTGGTCTTTCATGTTTCCCTTCTAGACGATCGTTAACAGCGGCGTATCCAGTACCACCCTGTAAATAATATTGTTAATATTTTTATGCTCACAAGTTCCAATCAAATGTTTAGTAATTACCCTTTGAAGCGGTATAATGTCGGCTTCAGTCAGTTTTGTGCTATCCAAAGGATTTATCCAGTCTCTTTTTATAATCTTTTCTACACATTCCAAAGTTATTACATCACCACTAAAAACAAAATAATTATTGTTTAATCCTATTGAATAATAATTAATATGAATAATATGTGAGTTGGTTAGAATTATAGTGCCATAAATCACATTTTCGAATATGTTGACTAAAAAGATAAGTGAAGTAGATTATAAAGTTGCTATAAATTAATTTAACTCTAAATTATCTTAACAATAAATTTGGTCGATAAACAATGCACATGCTGGTAAACAATAGCACACTTTGTCTTTCACAGTGAGGAAAATGTGTCTCATGCCACTATGATTTTATCCCATTCAAACGTAACCATACGTTGTTCTTATAATTGCACATGGGACACTATTACTTAAAATATCATGAGTAATAGGACACATATATCGTGCTTGTTTAACAATAAGAGATTTTTGATCATCTGGGTCTTTCACTTCTGTGAATTTTACTGGTATAAGATCTTTTATTTTCAATGACTTTCCACTTATAGGACAATAAATTGTTTTGTCTGGCTTTTGTAATATTGAGTCTTTAGCTTCTGGTGTTTTAGAAGGAATCCAAAAACTGGGGAGTATTTTATCCTTGCCGTAGCACATATTAGAAACTGAAGAACCTGATTCATCTACACTACTTTGACTCCTAGAAACAATATTTTTTTCCCCCTTCAAAAAGTTCTGTAGCTTTTGTAATTCTTCATTAGCAGTTTTTTCATGAGTTTGTTCCTGGAAATACCATAGAATTTTATGTTAAATTTGATCCATGTATAACCATTTTAATTTCAGCTGTCCCATAATGAGTTGATTCTATAAAAGAGAAATGTATAGGACTGGGAAGGGTAAGAAAAACCAGAGAAGTGCTCTGTATATTTGTTACAAAAACCTAAACAACATTTTTAAGAGCTTCAGGCTTCTCTTAGTTTTGAAGATAAGGATCATGGGCATCTTGCTCTTACATCTCGTAGATGCACATACTTTCAATTTTACTCAACTCATTCTAGGGCGACAAGGTAGTATTTATATTAACCTCTTCTTGCCGTTTCTGTTTTTCATATTCTTTTAATTTTCTTGTGTATTCTTTCTTTTTGGTCAAAACGTATTCCAAAATTGCCTCCTTATCAAACAAATAACCATCTTTCCTATAAATAAAAAGTCAGTAATGCGGAACAAGGAAATATATAAATAAAAGTTAACTCGATGATACAAACGTTATTACAGGGTTTCTACATGGTTGTAAGGTAAGACAACAACAATCAAAATCTTTCACAGAATCTTTGCCCACTCTTTGTGTATTTGTTCCATAACCAGACGCTGCTGCATCTTTCTTTTTCTCGTGATAAGTGTAAACAGCACCAGCAGTACAATTTCTTGCGTGTCGCGTCATGTTTTGTTTACTACAATAATAGACAATGGCTCCTACTGCTGCACACCTCCAGGCCGAAACTTGATTTGTCAGCGAAGGTCGATATAGAAATTTCCTTTGCTCTGATTGGTGTTGCCCTCTGATTGGTGAACATAAAATCAACGCAACTACACGTGGAATAAGTTACGGTAGTGCGGGACAACCAGCCTAATAGCATGAGGTAAGTAGAGAAATCTGATTGGTTGATGCTTTACAGCTAAACAGTACTGCCCTCACGGTTCTAGACAAAGAGAGGAAGTGCCGAGTGAGCAAGAGAGTAGGATATCAGCACAACCTCAAGCAAAACAAGTCACACCGACGACCAATGCTCCATTTGAAACATGTGGCGCGATATTCGACTTGCACTTTACGTCCCATAGGAATCAGGTATATTCTTTTTAACAGTGAATTCAAAATTAATTTTCTATATTCAAACAAATTTTTTATTCAATATGTGCACATGTATAAGTGTTATTGTATGCATGTATAGAGCATGTAACTTTATTTGTACACACTATGTTAACCATGAGATCAATATTTACATTATTCATTATAAACTGGAGTTATGAATTCATATTGTAAAAAATTATCTTTTTTTGTCATTATGATCACTATCAGAATCATTGTCTTTTTTATGCTTTTTACGTTTCTTGTGCTTTGACTTTTTCTTCCTCTTTTTATGTTTGTGTTTTCTTTTCTCTTCACTAGAATTATCTGTTTCAGATTCGCTATCACTTGTCTCAGACTTTTCATGTTTTTTGGACTTTTTCTTACTTTTCTTCTCTTTGTGTTTCTTTTTTGCATCCCTTTGTTTTCTTTGCAATTCCTTCTCTCTTAACTCAGTCAAAGGGGTAACATAATTTTCATCGCTATCAGAACTTGTACTACTGACATCCAACACAATTTCTTTGTTGGGATCAACTTTAATGAAGTTACGACACTGATATGTAAGGTGTCCAGCATAGCCACATTTCTTACATGCTGGACGAATATGATCTTTATTTTGTGGAATCAGTCTAGAAAGAAATTCTGGATCCATACCTACAATGAAGCAGAAAAGTATTACTAGAGACAAAGAGAGAATTAACAGAAATATTGGCTTAAAGCATATGGAAATATTTTATGCAGATAAGATAATACATTAATCCCACTAGATAAGATGCAAATATAAGTAATTAGGTATCTAATATATACACAATATAAACCTTTAGTCACAACAACAATTGCTGTACAAAATTTTCATTCTTCAGTCACAGGTCGCAAAATATATTTTTAATTTCGCTAACATTATTACGAACTTAGTCATATGTTCGTGAAGAATACGTAATTATGTATGTAGATGCGTTTAACTAGGATTATTTATTAAAAACTCTTAGTTGTAATTGTACCTTGTACACATGGCTACACAACAGAAATTTAGTTTGTAGACATAGAGGTCGTAGTTGTGAGTAGTAGGTGGCGCTGAAATAAATTTATTCGGAATCATTCGGAATTTTGACAAGATTTGTATTGCTAAGTAAGTTTGTACGAAAAAATAATTTATGTTTATCTTCTCTATTATCTTCTCTGTGAAATTGGACATTGCTAAAGAATTTATAAAACATCTACAATTCGTTTTAATTATTGTAAATTTGACATTGAAGTATATAGAAAAGTAAATCGATATAGAAATTTTGTGTTTTCTGTATTATGTTCGATGTGTATACTAATCATATTTAGTGTAATTTTTAATAATATAATCTCATGTTGTTATAGCTATTTTCAATACATTATCTTATTTTCTAAATAATTGATGAACTTGTTTATAGGATTTAAGTAGTAGTTTGAATAGTAATAATAATTAAAAATCACAGTTACAAAAAGAGTGTTTTGCAGTTTGACCCCTTTTTTAATCTTATGCTTATCAGCAAGATAAAGTGTAAAGCCCACTTGCTGTAGGATACACATTTAGTATATTATTCATTTATAAATTCTAAAATCTTGAATTAATTTTGCAACTTATTTATTATCTTTGTTTATTTATCTTCTGTAAAATATTGTATAACAACGATATTATAATTTGTAAGTGATAATAATATTTCAAACAATAGTTGTACTATAAAAATCTTTACATGCTTCATTCTTTTTAGAATAACTTGGAAAATGAATTGGTTAATATTCCTGCTACTTTTTGTAAATGTTATAAATGTTACTATGGCTTGGCGGATGTTTATGAGAGGTCGAAGTAGATACGGTAATTTAGGTACTCCAATTTTGCCAGAAGATCAAAACGAAGTGGAAGAGCAATGGTTTACACAATATTTGGATCATTTTAATCCAACCAATGCGCTCACTTGGCAACAGGTACTGTAAAGAAGAATTTATAAGAATTATAAATTTAAGAATCTATAATTAAATTGATATATTTAATGAATCTTCTACAGAGATATTTTGTAAATGAGGATTATTATAAAAAAGGTGGTCCAATATTTTTAATGATTGGAGGGGAGGGTGCAATTTCTACTAAATGGATGAAAGAGGGCGAATGGATTGAATATGCTAAAAGATTTGGAGCTCTTTGCTTCCAAGTTGAGCACCGTTATTATGGAAAGAGCCATCCAACATCGTAATAACATCTAACATTGTTACTATATCTAAATATTCAAGCAATACCATTGTAACACATTCAATGTTTACAGAAATTTAAGTGTAAAAAATATGGTCTTCCTTACGTCAGAACAGGCACTTGCAGATTTAGCATACTTTATAAAAAGTATGAATGACAATTTTAAATTACCAAATAATACTCAATGGGTTACGTTTGGAGGATCTTATGCTGGTTCATTAGCTGCTTGGATGCGTGCTAAATATCCTCACTTAGTACACGGAGCAGTTTCTACGAGTGGCCCATTGTTAGCTGAAATAGATTTTCAAGGTAAATGTAAAAAAGATCCAATACTTTACTGAAAAGAAAGTTGTATTAATTTATAATGGTTACAGAGTATTATATTGTTGTTGAAAATGCTCTGAGAAATTACTCTCAGGCTTGTGTAGACTCACTAGTGGAAGCAAATAAACAGTTTCATATAATGTTACGTCACCGCATTGGTCAGGAGGGTTTATCGGAAAAATTTATGTAAGTCGAAACTTATTTATTTGTTTAAAATCTTCGAACATGCTAATAGAGTTTCGTTATTTTATAGTCTATGTGATCCTATCGACTCAGGACACACAACACGCAATGATATCTCAAACTTGTATGAAACAATAGCAAGCAATTTTGCTGGTATTGTACAGTATAACAAGGACAATCGTAATAATTCAGCAATGGCTAATTTGACTGTTGATAGTGCATGTGATATTCTAACAAATCAGTCATTGGGTATTGCTATTAATAGACTTGCGATCTTAAGCAATACAATATTGAATGCATCAAAAGAGAAATGCTTGGATTATATGTATAGTAAAATGATTCATGAACTTCGAAATGTTACTTGGTCTAGTGAACAGGCAGAGGGAGGTAACTAATTTTGACATTAAATTTACTATTTTTTTTTTAAATATATTTCTTTTTTTTCATATTATAATTACATTCTTTCAGGACGTCAATGGATGTATCAAACGTGCACAGAGTTTGGGTTCTTCCAAAGTTCTACTGCGCAATCGAATTTATTCAGTAACACTTTTCCAGTAGATTTCTTTATACAACAGTGTACCGATGTATTTGGACCCAGGTTCGGTCATGTACAATTGTTAATACTTTTTATTACTATACAGAATAATTTAAACTTTATTTCCCAATAGGTACAATATTGATTTGTTAAAGTCGGCAATAGAGCGAACAAACACTTTATACGGTGCACTAGATTTGGAAGTTACAAATGTAGTGTTTGTACATGGATCAGTGGACCCTTGGCATGTGTTAGGAATTACAAAGTCATTTGTTCCACAAGCACCTGCCATTTACATCAATGGTATGTAGACATCAGATATTTTACATGTGCAAACTTTATAAATTATCGATTTATTGAATTATTTATTTGTAAAATGTACAGGTACTGCTCATTGTGCAAATATGTATCCTCCATCCGAAAATGATTTACCTGATTTAAAGAAAGCCAGAGTTGAGATTGCACAACTGCTTGCTCAATGGCTTGGGTAATTAATATATCTTAAGTTTTCAATGTAATATAAGTGAGACTGCTTAATGATACGCGGATTTTCTTTCCTAGTTTTTAGTGATACAAAATACAAACAATGATTAAAATTATTTCAAGAATTTTGTTAAAAAATTCAAGTTTTTATTTCTTTATATATTGCTTAAATATCACTGTTAACAATCAGGCTACATAAATATTTTTCGGTCATATTTCTGTGCATTAACGAGACTAACCTAACATTAGATGTTTACCAGCATTAGTCATCCTGTGCTATGTTAAATGACAAGAACATATGTGTAAATATATTAAACAAGTTTGCCCATAATGGCACTATTACAATTTTTTGCGGATTACAAAGATATTAAATACATGTACAAACTTATTCTGAAAATATCTTACTTCAGTCAATGAATAAGAAGATATCATTCCCTAATCGTAGTTTCGACAATATTGAACTGGTTAAGATAAAACGTATCAATACTATGTATATATAAATAAATCAGTATCGTCAACTTTGATTTAAATCATGTTTTATATTCTTATATAAGCACCACAGCTACATCGATTTTGGTTCTGAAATGGACAGCATCAACCTTTCCTTAACGACACTTCTCTTAAATATCTTGTGTTGCTGCAAGAAATTACTTTAACTTCTTAAAGGTGAGGCCAAGGTGCCCATATCAGATTTTTCAGTGCGTCGAGTACAAAATTTTTATGAACATCATACTATGAGAAATATGGTTGTAACAAAGAATCCCTATAAATATCTCTTAGAAATCGTTTGATCAGTAATTAGTAATTATTTTCATTTTTTGGCATGTTCTTTGATCAACTAGTGATCCTCCAACATCAGCGAACAACTCTCCTTCTCTTACTTATACTACTGCATATACTGTATTTACATTAGATAACAATGTGGTAGTAAATAATTTACTGTATAACAGAATAATAATTGTAGGACGATTTCATTCTATATCTTGTCCACAAATCGCGCTGAAAGTTTCCTACGCAATATTTCATCATTCACCACGTTTCTAGAAATTCTATTGCAGAATTCACGTATTTTCCCTAGCAAACCATCTTTAATTGGTCACAGTAATATGAAACTACCTAAATGTAATGATACCTTAGAGGTGTAAAGTACTATTATAATACTATATATATTCACATATTGCATAAAATAAATAATGAAATAACAAAAATGGCCAAATAGTAAAAAGGATAGACAAACAGAATAAAATGTTGCTTGTAAAAATGTTTTTATGTAACAACTTTAACCAGTTATTGACAAAACATTTTACTCCAAACAATATTCTGTTCTACCTTTTCTTAAACAAAATTGTTTGTTACTTTATCATTTACCTTACACAAAATTAACATTACCGCAAGATATAATTATTTTCAGTTAGCTTCAAGTCACCAGTCGATTAACAGCTTTTTGCCAGAGCTAGTAATTAATGTAAAAGCTTCCACGTAATCCAATCGTGATTCGCTAGAGTATTGATTCACCGAATTTCTAATAAATGAGGTTCCTATCTACGAAAACCGGTGTTCAGTATCTGTGATGCGATTGAGACTGCCTCCACTCAGGTGTAGAGTTACCATGGTGATGGTGATGGTGATGATGATGACGTTTCTTGTCGGAAATACTCGCGTGTTTGCTGGACGGATACGTGGCCACGTCGCTAATCACCAATTCTGAGCCGTCTCTCTCGGTGTTGTTGCTATTACCACGATAGTTCTCTCGGTAGCCTGGTTCATCCAGGGTTTCCTTGCGACGAAGCGGAGGATGACCAGCTTTTTGGCCTGCAGTTTCGTGCAGATTCTCCCAAGCTTGTCGATAGTATCGATTCAGACCACCTCGACTTTCGGAAGAACTGCTACCAAAACTGGCTACAGTGTTGCAATCTGGAGATGCACGGTGCCTATAGTGCTTGCTGCTTCCACCACGATTTCTGTGTAAAATAGAAAAACACTTATGTAATACATTATCCTCGAATCAATGATGTGACAGTCAGATTGATTAACATATCTTTTAACAGAAAAAGAGTATGCATTTTATTGTATCGATTTGGTTTTTTCCGTACAGCTATTTTTTAAAATGCACATTACAAATAAAATAAAAGAAAAACATTTTAAATAAAAGTTGTATGGCATCAAGACGATCACTTGATGAAACAATTCAGTTTTACTAGTTTGAAGATTGATTTCAGCTTTTTAAAATGATATACAATTTTTTTACCGAATTTTAACAGAAAAAGAAAAACTACGTAAAAAGTATTATGTGTTATAGTTTGAACTAGAAAACCAAATCGATCAAGGGAATCACAAAATTAAGCACCTTTTCGGTTACATATGTATGTTACAGTCCACCACCAAGCTGAAAATTTGAGGAGCAGAAAGAATATGAAGAGAAATGTGGTAAATCTATCTTTTCTACGATCAAACTTGTATAAGTAAA